ATTTGCAGCAGTATCCTTTAACAGGCAAAATATATTCAAATATATTCATGTGACAAGATTGGGAATGCTCATCAGAGAACATGAATGAAACCCCAAAAGGAGACCGAGACCAATCTGGACATTTTTTTGACCCCTAAAAGATACCACATCAGTTAGAGCGTTTTTTTTTTATGTTTCCTCAAGTGCACACAGAAAGATACTGATTGACAGCTAAAATAATGATTGTGGTGCCTCGTCCTTAAATCACCTCAAATGAGACCAAAATCTGTAACCAAGATCTACATGGGCATTTAGGCACTTACTAAATGGTTGCCATGCTCCTATCAGAGTGCAAATTACAAAAGCAACATCAGAGATCAGTCTGCTTGAGAAATTCTAATCACCGTAACAGCTGGACTTGCAGTATCCCCTTGATTTAAAACCTTAGTTTACATTTGTTGAGACAATACACAATTGTGAGTATTTTCAGTTGTGAGAACTATTGAAAGTAGCAAACAATGTTTATATTTTAAAATAATTTGACAAGAAGTTTACTTTTGAAAGTTCTTGATCTTTGTGACCTAGAGTGATCTCCCAGCCACTATACGGGTTGTACAAGAAAGAATGCTTGATGTGTTAAAAGAGACTATCAAGGATAAAGCCAAAGAAGACAAGGAGAGAAGGATTTTAAAAAGATCCAAGAAAGTCAAATTCTTTGGTGAGTGAGTATTAAATATGATACAAATGTACACGTAATATACAGTGGAATCCCAATTTCTCAAACCCTCATTTTTTTAAATCTCCTATTAACTCCAACCAAAAGTCGTTTCCCTCTTCTCAGTCAAACACTGTAATTTTACCCCGATTTCTATGATTTTGTGAGCAAACTTTCGTTTCCCTTGGAGGTTCAAAAAATGGGGATTTCAATGTAGTTTTTTTTAATTTATTAGTCAAGGTGAATTTTACAAACCTTTTGTACTTAGTGAATTTCAAGCTGGCCCATGGTGTGGGGAAGGTTGCAATGGACTTGTCTAGTATCCCATATAGGGAAGGGGGAGTAGAGAAGTACTCCTGTTGACTTCATACCACTGAAAGCAGTACAAACTTGAGCATTTAGAGGACACTGTGAACCAATTTCAACTTGAGCATAGTCTTTAAGTGAACAAAAGAAAACTGATTAGCAACTCCTAAACCCCCAATGACTGTCATCAGACTGAGTGTAAAGTCACATGTTTTTTTTTTCTTAATGAATTGTGACTTGACATGCACTATAATATGAAAATTTATTTAATAATTTTAGTATTAATATTTTGGAATTTTTTCTTTTATTTGTGCAGAGAAAAGAAAGGTTTTCAGAAAGTACAAAGCATGTGTCAAAGAGCTAAACGAAACCAAGGACAATAAAACACAGCAAGTGAAATTTTCTATTCTGTTGGTTTGGTACATCCTATTGTGTAGCTCCAGAAAATATCCATACCTCCCCCACAGAAGGGATTTTTTCTAAGACCCCCCCCCCCCCCCCCCCCCCCCCCCCCCCCCCCCCCCCCC